TTCACGGAATAGCTTTGTCGCCTCTTCGTATGTGCTCGGTTCGTTGAGTTCGAACCATAAGCTCGCGGATTCTTTCATGGACTTCGCGAAAAAATGCAACTTATCCGCGCCTGTAACCTTTTCGTAGGTCGCGGTTCTTTCGAATTTCTGTAAGAATCGGATCGGGTTTTGAGCATCGCGTTTACCGGAATAAGAAATATCCACAAATGGATTTTGCAACCAACCACCTCGTGGTAGTCGTATATTAAGACTCGCTGGCGATATTTTGCTCGAATTCGCGGCAACGGCCTCCTCCGCTCGTCGTTGTTCTGTAACGCTAACTAATGCTACCCTACTCGCGCCTGTCCGTTTGGTTATGCACGCGGTTCTCACTAGGTCGCATCAGCATCAGAGCCTCCTCCATAGCTACTAATCGCTCCAACAACGCGTGAATTAATTCATCGTTCCCGGTTTTACCGTTTTGAACATCGCGTGTCTTTTCTGGCAGCTCTTCCGTAACGCTGGGTATCGGCAATCATTGTATTTGGATCGTCCGACGTCTTTGCTATTACGCTGGTGCACTCGGAGGTGTTCACTACTTCATCGTAATCTATGTCATCGGTCATGCCTCTACCCTTTCTCGGTGTTTTAGTTTTCTTCGGCATTATGCTATCCGGATATATGCTTAACTTGTTTTAAATTATGTATCGCGACTTATTATTTTAATCACCGAGTGGTCTTCTGCTTCAAAATTTTTCTAAGCCACTTATTGAGCGATGTGAACGTCAACTTAATGTCGCTCGTTAAATTCCTATACAAGAAAATAACTTTGTACCCGATTTACCATGAGCTATTCCCCTTATGGGATTACGCAATATGATGCAATAGTCTCTATGGCAAGATTCGAATTCGCTCTGTGTGTTGGATCCAGGTAGAAGGATATGAAAACGTTTTATTGATTTCTTGATGTTGAGTAATCCTCTACACAGGTATGTCGCGTATAATCTTCCGATTTACTATGTATCGCGAAAAATTTCTAAGTTCTTGTGGCTTAAAAAAAAAATGGACAGAGGTTCCCCTAGGCCGAAGCCTTTTTATGTTCTTGGTTCGTATTGTTGCCTTAAGGTAATAAATTATTAAATATATTATCAGCATGCACTATATATGTAATCGCTCTGTAGCAGGAATTAATCCTTGTGCAATGCCTTTTCAGTACCGCCAATGCTTTCGGCGTATACACGTCAAGAAAGTCACAAAATATTTTTATTGAATCAATCACAAACTGCAAAACTGCAGAAATAATAATGAGAATTGTTCTCGGAATGCGTCTAATATTCAAGAGATTGATCATATTTGACCATCTGTCAATGTGCTTTGAAGCTTTTGTAAACTTTGAAATTATTGATTATTTTAATCAAAATGACGCTTTATTTTACTTGTAATTACTTTGTGCTCTCGTTTATATGCGAATCCATTCGATCTGCGCTTTTTCTGAATTTTGTCCTTTGGACTTAGTCTCTGTCGAGAACTGTATATGCATCGAAATTTTAAAGTATTTTAACGTTAAAAAAAATTTGCGCAGAGATTCGTTTAGGCCTAAGCCGTTGTTTGTTTTTGCTTGTCACTTTATAGACATATAAATTTTTTCAGACGCGAAAATATGCCAAGTTTTTATAATTTTCAAAAAATTTGCGCAGGGGTTTGTTTAGGCCGAAGCCCCGTGAATTTTTCACTTGCGCTTTTCACTAACACTGACTTTATTTAGTCACTCGCGTGAATTTAATCTCGCGACACGGTGAATGACAACTCGCAAACGCAATGCGTAAGTCGGAAGTCAATTCTACCGCGTAATTACTTTGTTAACACTTGCGTGAATTTACACACTTCACTTTTGCTCGTTGGCAATAAATCCTTTGTTTCGGATATCAATATCAATTTGTCGAACACGACTCTATGTTTCCTTTTAGGATTCTTGGAATATTTACGTATTTCAAACACTTCTTATGAAATAACGTGCTTCATGCAAATTTCATGCATCTACTTCGGTGTGCTATCGTTACTTTAATTTACCGGATTGATTTTACTTTACTTTATTATCGTTTCGAGAACATACAGAAATCCGTTTAGACTAGTTAAGAGGTCTCAAGAACAGCAGACCCGGTTACTGTCGATCTCGGGATAATTGTTTTCGAGTCGCGCTATGGTTATCTCGTTATCCCGCCAATCTGCACCGTGGTTACGACAAGCCCTACCGATCCTGTCACGGTCGCCATGAGCTGAGACTTTGAGCTATTTTTCGTTCAGTTCAAAATATGCAATACCAGCGGTCTATGCTCACGCAACAGCTTGCTTTGATACTGCGAATGCCTTTTTTATCAA